GCAAAGAATGAATCTCAGATCTCGAGTCAAGCGGCCTGACTCCCGAAAAACCAATGTCAAGTCTTAAGTCTCTTCTCTCTCTCTCTCTCTCTCTCTCTCTCTCTCTCTCTCTCTCTCTCTCTCTCTCTCTCTCTCTCCTTAAGTCTCTTCTCTCTCTCTCTCTCTCTCTCTCTCTCTCTCTCTCTCTCTCTCTCTCTCTCTCTCTCTCTCTCTCTCTCTCTCTCTCATGGAGATGATACTGACCAGTGAAAGGCAAAGCTTTGAGCTGCTGATGCCCTGGAGATGCCTCAAAGAAGAAGAAGGCTATGGCCAGTGGCAGACCTCCAAGGTCTGACGCCAGGTGAGTGACTTCTGCCACAATCACGATCCGTCTCCTCTACACAGTGCTTCCCTATCTCCTCTAGTGCTGGCTCCTCCTACCTCCTCTAGCGCCTACACAGTGCTGCTCTATGTGTTCTGGTGCTGGGTCCTCCTACCTCCTATAGCACCGGGCTGGTATTCCTCGCAGCCTGGTGGCTCAAGAATGAACTGAATTCTACCTCTCTACTACTGGTCTGGACTCTCCTATATACTACTGGGCCGGGAACTCTCCAACTCGGCCTCGCATTCGGGCCGTCCGATCAGCCAAGGACCCGGCCGTCCAGCTGAGAGGCCATCTGATCAAACGAAAAGCAGGCCCAGGCCTGGGTCTTAACTCAAGTCCAGGCCCGCCCCTGCTGAATCAGCAACAGGGCCTGGAATGGAAAACGGGCCTCATGTAAAAGATGGACACTGACCCATCACAAACAGACAAACTAAGCCAGAAGGCGAAACAGTATCTGCCAGAGGTCCGAACAGGACGAAACTAGGCCTGCTCGGGCAAAGCACTGGGAAATGTGAATCAGGCCAGGACACAACGAGCTGGCAATAAGCAAAAACTGAGCTGACACCAACAAAATATGCTGAGATCAAAATCAAAAGCAAAGTTGGCAAACTGAATAAACTTCATCTGAGAGCCGGCAAAAATACGCACATGCCTGGAGTCCTGGACTTAGAACAGAAATTACCCAAATGCCTGTCTGGTACACCAAGATCAGCTGGAATGATCTAAAGGCAGCGTGGCAAAAGCTGTTCAAAGTAGAGCCGCCGGAGATCAAGGCAATGGACAAATTGCTGACCTTCAAACAAGGCACGCTGCCGAGTGTTGACTGGATTGCTGAGTACCAACGCTTGACATAAAAAAAAAAAAAAAAAAAAAGAATAGAAAATACCCAAATGCATGTCTGGTAATAAACTCACCTAGGGGGCTCGTGAGGGCTGTGGCCCTCTTGACTGGTAGAATGGCCATACCAAGGGTTAAGCAGCTGAGGGCCCCGCCCAAATGAATGTAGACTGAGCTGAGAGTTCATAAGTCCGGTCCAGGGGAGATTGCAGTGGACAATGATTTTCCCACCCCCGTGGTGCCTGCCTTAACAGGCCCAGTAACCTCACCTCAGGGCGGGAAAATCGGACTGATGGATACTGGTCCTGCCAAGTCGGGCACTCTATTTGCATGTATCCGATCATACATACACTAGAAGAAAGGAAGACCTGCAGGTACGATCACAGAAGCAATCTAGTGTTCAACAATGAGCTATATATGCTTTCACATATCTACCAACCAAAAAAGAGCGCACTATGCGAAACAAGCGAAGAAAGAAAAAAAAGTTGCAGACAGTATGGAGGGAAAGGGTTCACGAATCTCTGCACCCGTGTTTCAGTCCCAAGTCCTGGGTCCCAGGTCCCAGTCCCGCAGTCCCAGGTCCCAGGTCCCAATACCGAGTCCCAGGTCCCAGTTCCGAGCCAAAGGTCCAAGTCCTGAGTCCCAGGACCTAGTCCTATTCCGTGTTCCATTAGTGGTTCGAGCCACTGGTGCAATATTCATTTATTAAAGCACTAGTACCTCTGTCGGTTCGGAAAATAGTGGGCCTCCAACCTGTCAGGAGGCCGAAACAAAATGACGGCCTCCAATCAGATTTATCAACGGCAGCCGTTGTCGGGCTCGGCCTCCTAAAAGTTTGGGACTAGGCTAAAACTTGTCGGAACCAGACGGCAAAGGTACTAAAAAAAAAAAAAAAAAAAAAAAAAAAAAAAAAAAAACAGAACCTTAGGGTTCCAGCTGGTGCAATATTCATGAACGCTCCAGAAGAGTAGTTTTCGTTTCTAGTACTTTCTACCACGAGCCTCAGCCAAGATCACAAGGGTTGTTAGGCCAGGTGTCAGTCAGTCCGACCAAACAGCCAGGTCCAAGAAGCATCTGTATGATTCTGTAAGCTTCCAGGAGCAGCAAACAAGGAAACGCGGAGCCAACCCATAACCGGCAGAAGCTGCCTGTAAGCTGAACCACCAAGCATAAACGAGAACACAGTGTGTTGGGCACTCAATGCGGAAGCACTGCTGCGGTATTGTGCATTGGAGAAGCGACCAAGTGAGAGTGAGCGTAGTGCAGTGTAGTCTACCGCGCTGGGGGCCATAGCCATAGTTGTAGTGTGGCATAGAGGAAGACATGCTGAGAGACGAGCTGTGCGTACTGCAGAGTAGTCAACTGCACTATGCGCCATAGCCATCGTTGTAGTGTGGCAGAGAGGAAGACATTCTGAGAGATGAGCGAAGACTGCGAGGTGAGAGCGAGAGCAAGGAGAGAGAAGGGAGGGAGACTTCCCTGCATGCCGAGTTGAGCGGCCATAGCTGCTGGTGTCAAAGACGACGATCAAGTTTGTATTGATTTCAGAGACTCTTTTGGACGCCGTGTGTCTCACGTGAGTGTAGTGTGATGTGGAACGCGTGTCTGAGTGTGCCATGCATGGTGGCCTCATTTCAGAAGCACACTGAAGCCATTCATTTACCTTTCCCTGTGCAGTTCTCCGAACGTCTTTCTCTATTTTTTCGGATATTACGCTGGGGGTGCTGTGAGAAGTTCATTGAACCTGACCCTTATCATTTAGAGGAAGGAGAAGTCGTAACAGGGTTTCTGTAGGTGAACCGGTGGAAGCATATCATTGAATACAGGAAAAAAAAAAAAAAAAAAACAGATACTACACTTGATCTTAAGTTAGCCAAAACGCCGGGAAAGGCATTTCTTTAAGCTTCTTTCTTATTTCGGCTTTTATCACGGTTTCTGTTTTATTTCTTCTTTTAGCTCCCCCCTTATCATGCCTCTATATGTATCGTACTATAGACTCACATAGACTCTGCCGAGCCTATGGTCAATTCCCCCATGTGTCACAACCAGTTGAACCCGGAATGTGCGAATGGAAGTCGTAAGAAAAGGACCAGAGAAAAAAAAAAAAAAAAAAAAAAACTAATGGCTTCATTGAAGTTGATTCACTTCTGGTTAGCATCAGTCTGATTAGTCTGATGACTATTTTAGTATTTTGAATTTTCTTTTCCACCGTCGGCAACTCGGGGAAACACAAAAAATAAGCTACTAAGCAGTGTTGCACACGCCGACCGTCGGCGACCCCTGACTGGTTGGCTGCCGACCCGCCGACCGGTCGGCTGGTCGGCACCTACCGGTCGGGGTTCGTCGGCACCCTGCAAAAAAAAAAAAAAAAAATTGGGTCCAGAACCCCTAATAACCCCACGAACACCCCCATACCCACCCCAAATACCCCCAAACACCCTCCCAACACCCACAAACCGGCCCCCAACACCCTCATAACCCCCCCCAATACCCCCTATACCCCCCCTATACCCCCCTATCCCCCCCTATACCCCCCTATATCCCCCTATACACCCCAGTCCCAACCCCCCCATCCCCAAAAGTTTCTCAGCGGATTTGGGCTGTACTCAGCAAGCGCAGTACAGCTTCCAACTCAGATCTGAAAAAAAATTAGTGGATGGTTGTTTTCTCACTGGTCGGCAGACCGCCGACCGGTCGGCCTTACTGGTCGGCTGCAATACGGTCGGCGGTCGGGGTCGGCGGTCGGCAGGGATGCAACCATGCTACTAAGTACTAAGTGCTCATTCAAACCGCTTCTCCCCATGGACACCAAAAAAAAAAAGAAAACAATGCCTTATATAAAAAAAAAACCGTGTGTGGCTTTTCCAGCTGCCAAATTTGACATATTAGTATATTACAAAATATTGGGGGGTTGAACCCCTCTCCATTCATGTATGTTAATTTACAGAGAATGAATTCAGTATTGAAAATGACTATCAGCGCCTTCCAGAAATGACACACACAAACCAACATGAAAAACAAGGAAAATATTTTCAAAACAAACGAAAAAGCTATAAAAGTCAATAATAAATCACAGAAGTTCCTTCAATGGAAACCCTGCAAAGTACTCCCCGTTAGCAGTCATTTAGCAGAATAAAGAAAGGACGGAAGCAGCAGTGACAGCGACAGTGACAGCGACAGCGATAGGAGTAGGAGGACGCAGAGAGGAGATGGAAGATAAGGAAGAAGGACAGGAAAAAGAGGAGAAGGTGGAGGAGGGAAAGGAGGAGAGGAAAGGGAGGAGGAAAGAGTAGGAGAGAACAAGGACGAGGAGCAGGACAAGCAGCAGCAGCAGCAGGAGGAGGAGGTGGAGGAGATGGAAGATGATGAGAAGAGTAGGAGAGGAAATGCAGGAGGAGGAGGCTGAGTAGGAGAGGAAAAGGACGAGCAGGAAGGGTAGGAGAGGAAAGCGAGAAGGAAGAGAAGGAAGCCATGGAGAGGTAAAGGAAGAGAGGAGGAGGAGGAGGAGGAGGAGGAGGAGGAGGAGGAAGAGAAGGA